CACAGGTCATATGATATTATGATCTTAAAATCGGTGGTGTTATTAAGAAGAATTTTAGGATATAACACTTGAGAATATGACATCCAATCTCTGAAGTGCCTAATTATAATACATCATAAAATCACATTTTTATATTTATTAAATTTAGGTATAAAGGCTCGAACACACAGAACGCAGTCTGTAGCAGCGATCAGCGAWAATTTCCAGCGGCGGTAAGGCGGTAAAGTTGTGTTACGTAATATCGCATTATTCCCGTCACACAGAAGGCGGTCTGTCGCGGCGGGACAATTCAGATCGCGACATCAGGCGACAAAGTTGTACAAAATTACAGATTACCGCGCGGGCAACTTGCGATCCGTTTTTAATTACCTATAGATAAAATTTATTTTACGGACGAAACTGAGATGCTGATTATTAGAACGATCTTCATGTGATTGGAGTTCAATACAAAGACGATGGTATTCGCCAAATGCTTTTCTTTTCGTCTTTATTTCATGCACCCAACATGGTCTTTTTCTTTTATTTTGAAGGGCAAGTAGAAGAAGAAGTTGCTCTTCGTCTGAATTTGACATATTGAATAAATAATAATATAATGAAAAAAACACTGAATAATATCGTTGATTTGTAACTAAATGACTACAACCGCAGGTGTATATCGCGACTGGCAAATATCATGTTTTTAGACGARACCGCTTATGAAACAAACGCATGGTGTGTGGCGTCACCAGATCGCTGACCGCCGCGACAGACCGCGTTCTGTGTGCCCGAGCCTTAAGTCCTTGTTTTTCTTTTGTCGTGTTTTTTAAAGTAAATGTTATAAGAGTCTATCGGAAAAAATGAACAAGTAAATACACAATAGTAAAAAGCCCAAGTGAGGGATTTAGAAATATAAAATTCTACTATATAATGATATTATAYTTTCCTAATGAAGAATATAGGCCAACGATTATAATGTTATCATGTTTTGGGAGTAGGATTTGTGTATTGTTAAAATTTAGTTAACATCAGTCAATT